GTCATTAAGAGATTGGAGACTTTATTGCAACGTATTACAAACCTCTCTTTCACATACCATTTCAGATTTAAAAGAAAAAAAAAAAAACAAACCCAAAGTAAAACATGTGGCTATCATGGAACTATTAGGTAACTCTAACCTGAAACCAAGTTAACTCAAACTAAGCCTCCATTCCCGGAAAGCTCAAATGCCCCATCTAGTAGAAAACACGTAGCTTCCTGCCTTTCTGGGGCAGGTACCTTGATGAGGTAAAGAAGTATCTCCTACTCATTTTAGGAAAGGAAGCACAGAAAGATACAGAGTAACTTCTTTTTATGGTCCTGGTGATACTGTAGTGAGGAGCTGTACTTGAGGCAACTTTCTCCTGAATTTCAGGCTATCCCAAAGCTGCTGTGTTGTGCTTCCCTCCCTGGGCCAGAGCTGACATCTGGAAATGGCATACAGAGGTTTGGATGGATGTGGTGCAAGAGCCAGGGCTGGGATTTCTTGCCTTCTGGAGTGGCACTCCCAGGAATCTTGGAAATGAGCTTGGTTCTGGCAACAGGAACGAACCACTTGGTAATAACTATTTTCCTAATGCTGAGGCCTTCTACACATGTGCAGGATCAGAGCACTGAGATGATATTACAGACTCCAGCCCGAGCATGTGTCAGAAATCAGAAGGAGGAAACAAGGCTTTTAGTAATAATAATTACCACAGTATCGCCACAGGTAGATAAGGCTTTTCCTGTTTTCTGCTCATTAAAAATGTTGTTATTATGCATAGACTATAATGAGTACAACATCTGTCAGACAGACTTGGCTCAACAGTGCTGTACACAGTTGTTTTCCTACATGCCATGAAATTCCTCTGTGATATTTAATGGGCAGCCAAAAATAATTTTTTCCTTTAAAGTAAATCCATTCCAGTTACACCAGTCAGCGCTGAATCATTTTGACTTAGAGGGTGGGCATGGTGGATGGCATATGTTATTGGAAGGAAGAACTCAGTCTGACAGCTATAAATGCAACTATAGTGCTTTTATAGCTGGGAGGAAAAAAATAAAATGAAAAAGAAACAACCTTTCTTTTTTTGAGCTTCCCCAAATATGCCTTCCCCTCAGACCAGAGAGCTCATAAGCAGGCAGCACTTACTCTAGCCTGGGCACTGGCTGTAACGTGTTGGAGTGTGTTTATTTGATCTTGAAGAAAGGAAGGAATTGGGAAGAGGCACACAAGACTCCCCGTCTCCAACACCACCAATGCTATTCTGGGCAGTGTTCAGGGGATGGAAGGAGTCCATTGTGCTACGTGGCACCAGTTTTATTTTGTCTGCTTGGGGATGGGTCGGTTACATGGCCTGCTTCTCATTCGCTTTGCTTTTTTCATTCCCTGCTTCTCCTGCCAGAGGATGATACAAGTAATAAACCTTCTCAGAGCAGGGGTACAGGGCTGACTGGGTCTGAAGCTCCTGCAGCTTCTTCTCTTGTAGCTACCAGCTGTTGCCATAGCGATTGGTAACAGTGTGCAAGAGTAAGGATGGGATGGGGAGCAGCAGCCTAAATGGGAGTGCATTGAGCTTGTATGATACTGAGCTGGCTGCACTTGGCTGACTACCCCAGGAAAACCTGGGCTCAGTGAGACTGACACTGATTTACAGCATTTTTGCTTTAGCTCCTTCCACCTTGCCGTCACACACATGTGTTTGGAAATGGAGTGTTTTGTGTGGGAAAACAACAGCACTGAATCCAGAATGTGAATACCTGCAGTGTGAAGAATGTAAAAGTCATGGCGCACCAGTGGGATCCCAGGAGCTACTGCATGCAGTCAAAACCAAAGCTGAAATGCTGAGTGTCAAGCACAGCGAGTTCTTCAGTCACCTGCAGACGAGGCATACAGGTAGTCTGATAATTTTGAACAATATGTATGTGCAGGCAAGTTGTAAAGGCCACAGGAATACCCATACATAAAATGAACAATGTCTTTGAAAACAGATTTTCCTTTGTAACCAAGAAGCTTGCAGAGTAAGCTACTTAAAATGTGTAAGGTTGGAAAACTCATCTTTCTAACTGAGATAGGGACAAACAAAGGTATATTTTTTAATACATTTGCTGCTGCTGAAGGCTTTCTCAATGTTATCTACTTTACTCAGGTGCTCTACAAGTGTAGTCAAGCCTGTGAGGTATGCAGAAATCTTGTTTGTCAGGAAGTACTGGCTATTCTACATTATTCTCAATTGCTAAATCATATTTGCATTCCTGTTGATTTAGTATCGTTTTTAATGTCATGTGCAGGTATATATATACTCTACTCCATGGAAAGTGAGAATCCATTTCTCAAAGGATAATATTTAATTTACCCTGTTTTTTTACAGTAAGTTTGCTGGTGTATGAACATACCAGGCCAAGACAGTTTTGTGTGTTAGGCCCAGTAGAAAAAGAAGGGTGTTATGCCATTGTATTATGAGAAATGCTAACAAAGAAGAGTTAATACTCTTATACCCACCTAAATCTCTGGGTCCAGACAGAATCCACCCCAGAGTGTTAAGGGAAGTGGCTGACGTTGTTGCAGGGCCACTGTGTATAACATTTGAAAAGTCATGGAGATCAGGGGATATCCCTGAAGACTGTAAGAAGACAAATGTCATCCCCATCTGCAAGAAGGGCCCAAAAGAGGGCCCAGGAAACTACAGACCCATTAGTCTTACTTCAGTCCCTGGGAAAGTAATGGAATGAGTCCTAGAAACTATTACAAACGAAATGAAGCAAGTGACTGGGAAAAGCCAGCACAGATTTACCAAAGGCAAATCATGCCTGACAAACCTGATCACCTTCTACAACAAAATAGGATTTTCTGTCAACAACATGGGGAGAGCAGTGGATGTTTATGTGGACTTCAGCAAAACATTTGACACTGTTTCTCACAGTCTTCTCCTGGACAAACTGGCAAGATACAGATTGGATGGGCGATCTGTGAGATGGGTAGGAAATTGGCTCACAGACCCCACTCAGATGGTGGTGATCAATGCTTTTTGCAGGAAAGACTGAAGGACTTCGGTCTTTTCTCCCTGGAGAAGAGAAGGCTCAAGGGGTACCTCATCACAGTATTCCAGCACTTCACAAGCAGCTACAAAGGGGACGGAGGTTCTCTCTTCACATGAAGCCACATGGAAAAGACAAGGGTACAAGTTGTACCGGGAGAGGTTTTAGCTTGACATAAGAAAGAATTTTTTTTACAGTGAGAACAATTAATCACTGGAACAACCTTTCCAGGGATGCAATAGAGTCCCCATCACCAGAGGTTTTCAAGATGCAATTGGACAGGGTACTAGATAATCTCATCTAGGCTCCCTTTCCCACAAAATATTGGACCGGATGATCTTTTGAGGTCCCCTCCAACCTGGGCTATTCTATGATTCTATGACACTAAAAGTGACTTATGTTCCAGACTGTATAGGTACTTTCTCCACAAACATTGACCCAGTGAGTGGTTAAGCAGTGATCTTCTCACTCTTCCTTCCAACTTGCTTTTTCTGTACAGTCAGTAAATATTTTATTATCTGACCTGACAGCAGCAACAATAAAAGACTTGAGGTGAATACTTATCATAATTGTGTTGCAAGTGTTGGAGACTTAATTTGAATAAAGCAGTAGTACTGATGATTTAGCCATGAAGAGGTTGTAAAGCAAGGCAACGTTAGTAGGGAGGAATAGTATTTTAGCAGTCTAATTGATATCACGAAAGAAGATGATAAAATGTTGGCCAGAGATGCCCTTTCTCAGATCTGAATATGATTTAAGTCACAGGATATAAACACTGATTAAAAAAAGTATTCTTCTTGTACCTTCACGGTAGCTAATATACAACTTTGAATATAAGGCTTCAGGATGTCTAAATTTAAGTGTCCTTTTAATACCACTCCTCATTTCCAATCTATAGCTGAAAAGGGGAGCGGAAATCAGATTTCCTTGAGCTAGAAATTATGTAAAATAAACACCAGATGGAGCCATAAACCCACATATTAAAATTTCTGTTTACGTTTTATTATATTTAATCCTTAGATTTTGTTTTCAGCACTGCTCATTTTATTTTCTTTGCCTTAGTAAAATATCTTTTATATTATCTGTGATGTGGTTGAACAGTTTCTGGGGAGCTGTAATTATCCAGGACTTTTTTTGTCTTGCTGTGGAGAGACACAATAGATCCAGAATATGTAATACACATAATATGCATAGAACAATATGAAATAAGAAATCAGAATTGCAGGGCAATCAGCTTACCAAAAACTTAGCAGAACTTCCCGCCAAGTATAATTGCCTACCTGAAAAAACCTAAATAACCTTTCAGTTTGCGTCTCCTCAAACCTTTTCTGGTGGAGGTGCAGTTTATCATTAATTTAAACCTGTTGAAAACATATTTTTTAAACATAACTTCTACTCCCTCCTCTGTCCTCTTAGATGCTGTATTCCAAAGATCCTCTGGAGTTCTTAGGTCAATAACCTAGTACATTTTTCACAGAAAAACAGAACGCGTTGCTGACTCGCTGTGTGAGTCTAAAGTTGTTTAAGGCCAAGTTTTCAAATGACTAGAAGAAGAAATTACTGACTAGAAGAGATAGTTGTTTTATGGTGGTTCATACTGACCCTTTTAATTTTTACACAGAGCACTATGAGATTCAAAGATAATTCTTGACACCACAAAACACTGACAGTTGGTTTACTTCAATACAGGGGCGGGGGGGGGAGTGTCAAACCATTTAATTTATAAATTTTTAATTTATTTTTTTAGAAAAAAGAAATCACATTTTCCTCATAATGTGTGTGAAAGTATTAAAGTCTCCCTTATGTTAGCTGTACGCTTGAGTCTGCCCAGCTCTGTGTGAAGGATTTGTCAGGGGCAGAGCACGCAGCTTAGCTCTTCTTACCAGCCCTCAGCCAACCTGCAAGTGTTTGCTCCTCTCTGCTGCCCTGGTGGCAATGGGCCATCACCAGAGCCACAGCTGGAACAGGGAGACCCTGTCAGATATTACCCGGCCCAGGAGTCTCCAAATGCACTCCAGAGCTCTCCATCATCCTAAAAGTTCTCTCTTGCAGAAAAAGGGAAACTTTAGAGCATGAGGAGTGTCATGCCAATGGCTATTGTATTGTTATCTGTCTCCCCCCACATCCAGCGCGTGCATCCTTCAGGACCAGACACATCTATCGCCACTGCCACAGGTGGTTATCACTTGAAAGAGGTCAAGGGAGGGGGAGTCGGAGGCGAGGGGGGGAGCACACCTCCACAGCGTCATGACTCATGAGTTGGACTTGAGAGGTCTGTTCCAGTCCTGGGGTGACATAACAACACAGGAGCCTGGCCTAGCTTCACTGAAGATTGTTTCTGTATTTTCCAGTAAAATGAGAAATTGGGCCTTTTTCTCATGGCACGGCCTGATGTTGGATGTCCTAGTTCAAGCTATGAACTTAAAAATCTAAGACTTGCTCCTCTTTAGAGTAACCCCACAAGTTGCTTGGCACAAAGGAAGGGACTCAGAGGGACAGAAAAATAGCCAGAAAACCCAAAATACCAGCTGAATTTTCTTTATATGCCAAGTAATAATAATGAGATGCTCCTAAAACAAACCTACCACATGAATTTCAAAGAAGTACTTTGAATTAAAAAAAAAAATAAAATAAAATTCAACCACACTTTTTTTTTTCTTGTAGATGCATGAAAATGCATTTCCTGGCCAGTTCAGCCATTCATTCCACTCTAGCATTGCAACTTCATTCTACATTTCCACAAAAGGACGTCTGCAAATTCTATCTATGAATTTATCATATACCTTGGAATTACATTACTCAGTGGTATACATGGCCTACAGGTGGTTCTAACTTACCTGCTTAATATCTGACTACGCACCTCAGCGGTTCTGGTTACCCTCACATAAATGGCTCTACTTCATCCTTTTCTCTCCATTTTTTCAATACATATATGTATAGGCAACTTCTATTTTAACTTGCACTCACTGAACTTTCAAGTCTTTCACCATACGGTCAGCCAGGCAGTGGAGCAGGTTGCTCAGAGAAGCTATGCCATCTCCATCCTTAGACATTTTCAAGTCTCAGCTGCATAAAGCCCTGAGCAGCCTTGTCCAAACTCAGAGCTGCTGCTTGGAAGTGGAGGTTGGGCTAGAGACCTTCTGAGGTCCCTTCCCACTTGAATTATCCTAAGCTATGATTTTATTATGCTTTCTGTTTTTATCCAGTCATTCACTACTTCTTCCTTCTAATGGAGGAAAGAGATTTTTCAGTCTTACCAAGCCTTGCATCCAAAAATCATGAAAGAAGTGTCTACCCTGCCAGGCAAAGCAGAAACCTGTCAGTAAAAGTTCTGGTGTATAAAGAAAGAAAAACCTGAAACCCAAAAGACTGATAATTTTATATTTAGGCAGGATAATGGAGTATCTTGAATGCAAATGAGTCACCGTTTTAAGCTTTTCCCCTGAAGCTACAAGATCTAGAAATGTTCTCTAAACAACTCCTCCCCCGGCCAACTGAGATGTTCACATGATCACATGCCCCTGGGACAAGGAATTCAAGAACACTGAAGGCTGAGTCAAGCAAGAAATTACTGAGCAATGATACCTTTTAGCTCTAGCTGCTGGGCTATGGCCTGAGAAGGGCAGTAGTATGAGAAGAACCTTAATTCTGTGGTCACAGAGAGGCATAATTGCATGAGCAGGTAATAGACGTGTCAGGAATTCCTCTCCGTGCCGGACCTGCAGAGGGCATGAGAGCCAGTCTTGGAGATTTAGCTGGCAGTTTCAAGCTGTAGCTGTGCATGCAGCTGTGGGAGCTCCTGGTTCAGCTCCTCACATTCTGGCTTAGAGACAATCGTCACAATCACATCAGACACGAGACTCTGGGGAAATAGCCCCATCACTCATAGGATGACAGCAATCACCAGCACA